GTGCCAGTGTGCACATCATCTGCTTATGATGTGTTCACAGTTCTCATGTCAACCACTAAAAATTCTGAAACAGTGCGCGGCAGGTGATCATCTGCTGCATTTTCTTGCAGACACGTCCATGAATGTCAGTCTTTAAGACTAAGAAGAAGAAATTTTACCCTTCAACGATTAACCTAGTCCCTTTTCAAATGAACAGAATTATTGTCTGCAATAAGGGCAAGATGATAGCGAAAAGAACTGCAAGGAAAAGTGCTAGACGATTGTAGATTGGCTCCCACCATGTGGCATGCTTATCAACTGTCGGCCATGCATCTCACATGTTACAGAGACTGTTACAGAGACTGTGACATCGACAGTCATTACTAAATTACAATGTACAATCGATGGCACAATCTTCACCTTAGCACTGGCGAAAAAAGTCTGGTCGAGGAGAACTCTCGATCCATTCTATATCCCCACCATTGGGGTCTTGCACCTGCAAGGCTGGATACACATCAGCAGACCGTGGGATGCCACGATAGGCAACCGGATATCCCCCCCACCTAAAGCTGCGGTATGTTTCCAAATCATTCGCAAAAGTAAGAGTTCCCTCGTATTGGTCAAAGATCACCACGACTGTCGAACCAGCTTTGTCAAACTTGCTAAACCCAGACGCTTTAATGAAAGACGAGTTGAACTCAAAAGGCGATGTACACAAGTAGCTACCTACACAGGTCATCATGCAGTACTGACTAGGAACGAGACCCCCTGAAGCAATCCCGACACCAAATTGGTCACATTTGTTGATCATGCGGGCCTTCCATATGTGTGTCCCTGGAAGAAGGCGCACCCACATACATACAATCCAAGACCCGTCTTTGTTAAAACTCCCCATTCGTTGCCGTTGATGCTGCGCTGCTAGTGTTACATTCCTGAAGAGCATTTTACGCCAGATCGATGGGACCGAAAACTCTCTATAGAACCTGCAAACCTTGCTTTCTTCTGTTGCTAGTGGTGCAATCAATGACGGTGCCAAAGACATGGATCGCCACGGCATTACAAAGAACGAATCAGACCGCATTCCTCTTGCAAAACAGACAGATTGCACTCCGTATACTGCGGCACGTATCTTTGAGCTCAAGATTCCAAGGGGCTCGATTCCATTCTTCAAGAATATAGGGCTAACAAAGGCCAGATTGATGTGACTCCTCAATACCTCCCCCACATCCTCCACTGACAAGGAGCAGCCCTTAAACTCCGGGTGAATTCCGTTCTCGCCATCCATACAATCGGATCCTGCGGAGCCGAGATGCTCCTCCATCTCCTTGTCCATGGAATCACTGGCCATGGATGAACCATGGCACTCATCGTCCTTTTTGTTGCTATGAAGATTAGCGAACGCTGACGAGACCACTGCCTTTGCGAGGATTGTCTCGGTTATGCTCTGGTGGAATGCTACCTTCTCCAGGCAGTACTTGATGCTATCCTTGGACCAACCTGTGAACGACCCTGACTTGAATGCCACCACAGTGTTCAATACCTTAACAGCAGCGTCTAGAATCGCCGTTGCCTGTCTCGGGACCGCTGCGTTCAGCAGGTCCCCTAGCTCCGACGGATACCCCAGTATGGATACCAAGCGTAAGATTCGCTTGCACAACCCCTTGACATGAAATTGGTCGGCTAGGAGGTAGGCACCCACCATTATGTCCCAGGAACCGTCGTCATTCCATCGAAATAGACGACCATGAAGGTAATCGACCACAACCTGCAGACTGTCTGACTTCACGCTCGGAAGATGTATCATCGTGTCCACGCAGCTCTCTTTCATGTCCCCATAGAAGAGCTCTAAGAAGTACTCGCTCCCACTTGCCAACAGCGTTCGGTTTGCTCGCACCTCGTGCGACCCCTCGCATACAAAAGTGACATCCAACAACCTTGGGTGGTCAAGGACTCTCTTCGTGGCCCTCAAGAACGATTCCTGTTGCTCATTGTCCTCCTCCTCCTCCTCTGTGCGTCCCAAAGAAGGACGTGGGACAACTCCATAGTCTATCATCTTCGCGCTCTTCCTAGTGAAACTTTGTACAGTGTCTAGAACTCGCCGCAGTGCACCTTTTTGTTACCTATTCAACAGATGTCCTTAACCTCGTGACCCTGCCCGAATCCAAAAGGATGTCCTTAGTCCCCTGATCGGCATGCATGAACCCAAAAGGGATCCACAAGCTAGCAACGGAGCATCCAGCCCAACACTACCCTACCCGAATGCAGGCTCACATTGTGACCACATTCACTCCAAATTTGGCCAAAGCAATTAATATTCGCTCACAACAGAAGTACTTTATCCTGGAAGGCAGACAGCACAAAACCGAAGTACTCCTTTACCGCCTGCAGTTCATGACATGGTGAGCTTCCTCCCTTGACGGCGTTAGGTAACCAGATTTGGATGCTTTGGCTGACTCAGAGTTGTTTCCTGAAATGCCCCTGCAACAAGCGGAGATGACATTCACTGTGAAGAAAAGCCACGGGGTTCGCCGGTTATCTTGCGAAGACGTGGTTTTTCTTCCATGGTAGCCTGAGTATAATGGAAATATCAGGAAACCAGCTCGGAGTAGGCGGCTCGGTGTGCATGTGACACATGTTCGTCATTATGTGGACATGCCCAGCGCCGGCAAGCGCCTTGGGAGCGAAGCTCAAGAGACACCTGCAAGTAACGTTCGCTAGTTCAGCAAGAATTCATCATCCCTCGTATAAGTCAACCCCAGTTTGCAATGCAAGCATTCATCTTATGGCTACGCTGGCCGAAGATCAAATACATGCAATCTTTGAGAAGGAGATAAAAAAGAATGCACCCAACATCAGTCCTCAAACGTGCAAGCATTTTGTTCACAGCCTCGCAGATCGATGAGCAAAGAATGCAGTACCGAAAACGGAAATTGAGAATACGCATAAGACAAGATTCTCGTTTCTTTCCACAACCCGAACGAAGCACGAACCTCGTCCCTCCCTTCTATCCAACCCTCACTTGCTGCTCAAACACCTTGGATCTTTCCATACTCCTTTCTTCCACATCATGGTCAAGCCTAGCCCGTGCTCTCCCTACTCTTCGAACCCATGCAGCTGCACATGCCTCGACCCATTTTGCCTGCCGTGCAAAGCAGACATCCTCAGGAGGCTGACATACGTCTATGCATCGGCAGCATAGGAGGCCTCTCCCTTTCCCCCTTCAGCCCTTATACTGCATTCCTCGTCTGTGTACCTTTCCATGCATCACCTCGTCTACTACAACTAGTAGTTCCCGTTGCGTGCACTATCCTGTCGACTCCCTGTCTGTCGACCTTTTCGTGCTCCGAGATTGCAATTCTACCATCGTCGAATACTTTAAGTCGCCGTGAAACGCTTCCATGAACATGTTGCATTTTCCGGCCCGATGCTTCCGGTGTTTTCCGGCTTCCGCTTTAATCCCCGAACCGGATGAGTCCGACCCGTGTGTGCCCCTACGCCCACCACTGGATAGAAACGGGACGGGACTCATTTTTACAGAAAAATCTACTTCAAAAATCAGAGGAAATCCTTGTATCTGACTGCCTACGATGGGATTTTCGTGCCCGACACTACGTGGGATCTCCAGGAACGTCGGGATCCACCCAGGGATTAGCCCGCTTCTGAACTCCCCCGGCGACGGATCGGAACGGGACATGAGTCATTATGTAAAAACCTGCGACTAAGCAAATAAAAACATTCCGGTCAACCGAGAAGGACTGCATTTATCCGCTACGGACAAAACGGATTAATTTTTCATTCCATTGCGAACGAAAAAGGCAATACATTTATTCCATTCCACGAAACTGAACTACATTCATTATTTAATCCTAAAGGACAAATGGACCCCATTCATTTTCAAAGCAAGGAGCGGCCTGTTTTAAAGGACAAAGTAAATAGAGGTTGAGGATACGTTGTACAGATCCGTAGCCACAGGTGCCTATGAAATGAGCCAAGTAGTCGTCAAGTTCAACCCCGCATACATCAATGAACATTCACATGAGAGTTACACACGTGGGAAGCCAGATCGAGATACAATCAACACTTGAAGATGTCGTCTCCAATATTATTATCAATATACAAGAATGCTTGCCTCCAGCATCTCTGCCGCACACACACGCACAACGGATCTCAACCAGATAGCAGCTACGGCTTCGCCCTCTCCTCTCTCTCTCTCTCTCTCTCTCTCTCTCTCTCTCTCTCTCTCTCTCTCTCTCTCTCTCTCTCTCTCTC